TCCGCCCTTGGACAGCCTCGGAACAACGGGCAGCAGCTGACCGCAAGGAGGAGCAGAGAAAGGCGCAGCAGCGACAGAGCATCGCCTTCGCTCCCTCGTCATCGGCGTCGGCGTCACCCTCGACCCGCTCGCCGGCCGCGTCGGCGGGTGGGATATCCAAGCGGGCCGCCATGGACCAGGTCGATCGGTGGAAGGGCAAAGAGGGTCTGCGTCTTGGTCCTCCCGCCCATCCCTCCTCTTCCTCGTCGTCATCGTCGGATCGACATCGTCATCGGAGGGACGAGGGAAAGCAGCAGCAGCAGCAGCAGCAGCAGCAGCAGGAGAAGAGGAAGGGGTGGCGATGATCTTCGGCATCGATCCGCAGCGAGGGCGGTAGAGAGGCGCTCGCGCTCGTCGTCGCCTGCAATCCCCTATACCCATGGCCGTACGGCAACCGTCTCCGCTGCATGCTCGAGTTTCACGAGATCGGGCTAGCGCATCGCTCAGCAGGCTGGCAGGCGTAACGATTATCGTGGGCAGGCCATCTGTTCCCCTCCCCCTGACGCGCGTCCACCTGCCCTAGGGAACGGCAGACGGGGCGGGGGGCCGAGGCGGGATGCGAATCTAGTTGGTGGGGGGTACAGGTGGCGCTCTCGAGTTTTTCCAGCCAGAGCGCAGTCCCGACACGCCGGCGATGGTGCCAAACAAGCCCACCCAGCCTTCGCCAAACAGGCCTGCTGGGCAGGACCTGTGCGAGCAAAGGCGGGGTTGCAGCGACGTGAGACGTAGGAAGAGGGGTTGGGTCAGCATGCCAGTCCGGTCTGTTTCCGGTCCAGCGCTCCGAGCTCAGGGGCCGACTCACCAGTGCAGCGTGAGGGGTAGGTAGCCGAGGTTGACCCAGAGCTCGTTGAGGATGGCGGCCTTGCGGTCGTCGAGCTCGTCCCACATCTGCGTCGTGATGGCCTGTTGCTGGCTGGCCTTTTCCCCCTCGGCCGCCGTGGTCGCCGACGACGACGATGCTGCCGATGCCGTTGCCGTTGCCGACGGTCCGGCGCGGCGAGCAGCGGCGGGGGTGGGGTGGCCCCTGCTGCGTTCGAGGGCCTTTGCGCGGAGGCGGAGGAGGCGGTTGTCCTCGACGAGGTGGAGGAGCTGGAGGCCGACGTAGAGGGCCCAGAAGCGGGAGCCCCAGAGCCAAAAGGCGTTTTGTACGGCGGCCGAGACGGGGAGGACGCCGTGGCTGCCGAGGTAGGCGACGGCCTCCATGGGGCAGTAGGCGAGCATCGACCAGCCCTGGATGCGCTCGATGTTGTGCAGCAGGCGCGTCGGCGGCGGCGTGCGCTCCAGCGACACCATCCACTTGAGAATGGGCAGCACGCCCCAGATGCGAAAGAGGACGCGCGCGTCGCTGATGAGGGCGCTCAGCTTGGCCACGCGCTGCGCGGCGCTTGAGGGCCGCTTGGCGCGCAGGCCGAGGAGGCGCAGCCGCAGCGCATACTGGAGGTTGAGGAGGACGATGACGAGCTTGCTCGAGTACTGCGTCACCATCAGAGCCTGGCGGGGGTGGTGGGGGCGAAATGAGGACGAGGACGAGGGCAAGTCGGAGCGGCAGGGACAGAGAGAGGGTCAGGAAGGGAGCGAGCGGGCTAGGGAGCTACGACGACGGCGGGGGAGGGCGACTCACCTTGTCGGTTCCGCTCCATGTGCCGAGGTAGCGGATGAGGTGGTCTAGCCGCTCACTGGGCGCGACGTTGGAAAAGCAGCCGAGGATGCGGTCGGTCGGGTTGGGCTGCCTGGGCGCCTTTTTCCGCGGGTGTGCCGAGGCCGACGACATGGTGTGCGGGGTAGGGTCAGAGTGTGGGGGCTGGGCTGGATGGTGACGAAGCTATATGGGGGCAGAGGGGACAATGGCGTGCGCCGGAAGCGTTGCGTTTGGGCGGTTGCTGGCACTCTATGCTGGGAGGATGCCGGTGGTGGTGGTGGTGGTGGAACGCCGTTGGCAGGGAGCGAGGTTGGTGTTGGTGTCGGCCCCGCCGTCGCTTTGGCCAGGCAGACTCTGAGAGTCACAGCGTCTTTGCGGCCTGCGTGCCCGCGGTTGAACGTGAGAAGGCGGCGGCTCGCTTTGCCTCGCTGCCGCCCCTTGAGCCCGTCTGGCACCAGAAGCGGCCTCCGGCTGCACGGCTCAGACGCCCTGCCGGCCGGACAGGCCCAAGACCGCGAGACCGCTCCCAACTCGACTCGTCCGGCACACCCACACACACTCGAGGTTGGGTCCGTCAAAAGTGGGCCACGTGACTTGGTCAGAAGGTTGACCCGTGTCCGCGACTTATCGGCCGGCAATGCCAGGGGCCGTGCCACGCCGTGTCCATACATCCCCCAACGATGCGGCCATGCATCCCAGCTTCTCACCACCACTTGCCCCTTCCCAATCGACCACTTCAGCCTCGTCGTTATATGTAGGCAGCACCGTCCCAGGCGTGCCTGCCTGCCCTTTCTGTCGCCACAGGCTGCAACCCTGTCCCTGTCCCGCCATCTTCCCCCGACCACGGGCCTCAAACGTCTTACCCCCGGCGCAGCCCTTGTACCGACGTTTTCGCGCCACCTGACGACGCCAGCCTGCCACTCGAGCGCATTTGATCAAGTCTGGCGCCGAGATGACCTCCTCATCGTCGCCGACCCAGTCCGATGGCGCCTTCCTTTGCTCGCCGGCGATCCGTGGACCGTCGGGCTCGAGCTGCTACATCCCCTCGGGCACGGCTGGTCCCTCTCCGCGCCACCTCAGCGGTATGCTGCACGAATCCCAGTCGAGCCCTCAGAGAACCTTTGACCGCGATCTCGTCGCCGGCCGCATCGATGTCACTTTCTCCGGCGATGACCACATCGATAGACTCCTCGACTCTCTCTTGCCCGACGACACGCTCTACTTCGAGGAACTCTCTTCCACCGCGCTGAGCGAGATTCTGCGTCCCAAGCTCGTCCAGTTTACCGTCGCAGGCGACCGCTTTGATCCAGGCGCTGACAAGCCCTGCGGACGCCTCAAGTTTCTCTGCCTCGATGGCGTTGATAGCGGCGACGACGACGGAGTCGATAGCAACTCGTCAGTCGGCGGCGACGGCGGTGTGGGCGACGATGATGGAATGCATCGGACCAATGCATCCACACCCGCTCGTGAAGGAGGCGCCGCCGTCACCGCCGCCGCTGCCACCGCCGCCACCGCAGCCACGACCTTTTTCGCCTACTTCTCGCACGAGGCTGGGCGCTGGAGGATCAACATTTTTTGCTGCGGCGGAACCGATCAAGCTTGCCAGCGTCGTGCGGACTCTAGCATGGCCCTTGCCGTCGCCCGACCCCCCTCGGACGGCACCGGTCACTGGTACTCGCGTGCTTTCTTCGAGTACGTCCGTACCAACGAGAACAATCTCGTGGCCGTCTTCCAAGCTCTCGCGACCGCCCTGGATAGTCATTTCGGAGAGCAGTTGCGGCGCATTGATGGAGCGGGGCGTGCCTATCAACGAGAAGGCGCCGTCTACTGTAACACTGGCGACCAAGGCCTGAAGTGTAAACCGGTGCGTCGCAGCCAGCCGCTGCCCTTCCAGCCTCGGGCAGATGTGGGATGCTGAGTCTCTCCTTTGCCCTGCCGCTCGTCGTCCGACCGGACCCTCAGGCAGACGAAATGGACCAGTGGGGCTGCAAGATCCGTCCTGACATCGTCGTCGTCAAGAAGAAGGAGAAGATCGATTGGGCGCACGCAAGAGCCATATTCGAGTTCAAGACGACGCGCACGAAGAACCAAGAGCCCTTGGAAGGTGCCACGAGGCACAGCCAAGACACACTCGCTCAACTGCACAAATACGTGGTCAAGGCCGTATCCGAGACCCCGGGCTTCACGTCGCTCTACGCCATGATCGTGCGCGACCGTGTCGTGGTCCCTTACAGGATCGACGCGGATCATATCGTCAATCTCGAGGGGTTCGATGCCGATGCAGAGCCTTTCCTCCTCTACAAGGTGTTCCTCCTCATGCGAGGAATCTGCCTAGATTCGTATTCCGGGTTCGGCCTTTATCAGAGGCAAGTCGATGTGCGGAAACTCCGAGAGATCTACGTTGCCGACGCATCGTTGTCGCCACCTTCTGGCGGCCTCGACAAGCAACATCGACAGACCGAGTGGTATCGCCGTGTCGATGTCCGCGTCCCCGAGATGCCCAGGGATTGGTCACCGCCCAAGTCGTGGCCATACGAGTTCTGGCACAAGAACTCGATCTCTCATCGCTCGACGAGTGTCGCACGGGTCGAAGTCAAGCTCCACCATCCCGGTAGCAGCCGGGCGCCGGATCAGAGGGACGGCGAGGGTTTCGTCCCGGCCATCATCAAGATCTCTCACCTCTCAGCGCCAGCCTCTGGCTTCGAGGGCAAGGCATTCCGCGCGCTGGAAGCCCAAAGGCCTCGGCCGAAGACGTCGAACACAGTCGGCGGGAGCCAGACAGCGCGTCTAGTCCAAGCCATGCAGGCTCGCTGCTACGCGGGCATCCCGCAGCTGCTCACTCACGGCGTGCTCTGGTGGGCAACCAAGGACTCTGGACTCGCCAACATCCACAAGAAGGTTCGATCGGCCGGCGAGCCGCCGACTACCTTTGCCCCCCCGACCCTGGCTCGCAAAGACATGACGCCCTACCTTGTCGATCCAAGGAATCGCCTCTTCACCGTAGCGACAGCAACGCGCCGAATGCCGACAGCGACCATCACCCGCTACGTGCCGACATTTGCCTCGACGGACTCACGGGCATGGACCTTGCCCGCACAGATCGCGAGCGTCATCGAGGTCCTCTTCTACGTGTGTCGGCCCAGCAAGGTCGTGCATGGTGACATCTCCCCCGGCAACATCCTCATGCATTCGACTATTACCCGCGAGCAAGAAGCGCAGCTCCTCGACCCGCAGTGGCCGCGTGAGCGGCTGCCGCAACTCTCGCTCCTCGTCGACTTTGGCGAGAGCTGGGTCAGCGATGCCGATGCAGGCGATTGCCCTGACACGCTCGAAACGCGCAAGTTTACCAGCGGCACAAGGCTCTTCTGGTCGAGAAAGTCGTACCGCAACAACCGGCACCTGCAAAGACTGCGCTCGCCAGATCCCGATCAGTTCAAGCACAAACTCGAGCCCCTCGACACGTTCGATGCTATCGAGAGCGCTCTGGTCGTGCTCGTCTATCTGCTGTCCCGCCAGTTCAAGCTCTACACGTGCGAGCCAGACATGGCTGGCTTCCGGCCCGTGCTTCGTACAACAACGTGGTCCAAGCTCGAGAAGGACGTCCGGTCTTCGGAGATGGGCGACTTTGGCGCCTTTCACGACGTGAGTTGATCGGGATTGTGCCTCCGGAGAGTGCCGGACCACGTCTCGTCTAGTCTGGATAACACGATTGCTGAACCTGGACCGGCCATCCTCCCGCGCTGCCCCTTTATCTCGGACCGACTGTCTGTCTCTCTGCACCGAAACCAGTTCTTGGTGATGCAGTTCGACGACCCCCGTCTTGACAGGAACCACATCAGCCAGCTCAGTCGCTCGCCGTCCCGCGCGAGGACGACTCCAGGTCGCCGTCGCCGCCTGCTCCACGTTCTGGAGGAGGAATTCGACGCTCCGCCCAAGGACAAGACCAGCACGCTGCTCAAGCTCGTCAAAGCGATGATCTCGGATTGCGTAGAGGTGATCGACGAGATCGGTCAGACGGCTGCGGGCCTGCAGGGCCAGTCGTCGGACGAAACCAAGGCGGGAGCGGGTCACGAGGCACTCGAGGCACAGGTCGTGCACCTCATCGAGCGGCTCACCGACAGGCTCTACCGCGGCACCCGCGACATGTTCGACTATCGCGACGTAGACGTCGCTGCCGAGCTATGGGAGGGTCTTGACCCGAACAGCTCGTGGACCCGCGCGGGCAAACTCGGCAAGCCTGACAAAACCGTCAACGCTTAAGGGGGTCAGCATCGCCTGAGCCAACAGACAGGTCGGCAGGTCTCGGCTCAGCGGTCGAGCCAGCCCCCTCTCGCCCGCCTCCGCTCTCGCTCTTATCCTCTTGTCACAGCGTCTCCCTCTCTCCCTCCCTCTCTCTCTCCCTCTCTCTCTCTCTCTCTCTCTCTCTCTCTACTCTCTCTCTCTCTCTCTCTCTCTCTCTCTCTCTCTC